TGGAGAGGACCACGAAGCCTCCGGAGCACGTCTGAATGCTGAGCTCCCACTCCAGCATGAGCCACCTGCTGGATCGAATTTAGTGGTGTCAGAACCCCAGCCTGGGGTCTAGCCGCAAGTTTTCCTATCAAGTCTTCATTCTCCACCCAAGAATCATTGCCATCAAAATGCCTGCCCAAAGAAACACATCAGGCTTTTAGCATATAATCAAGGATCCCCCCCCCGCCCCCCACACACTTTTCCTCACCTCCTGATGGAGTTCATATCTGTTTCCGGGCAAAAGAAGACTTTTTTTCATCCTTTTGATTATCTCATACAATATACACTCATGGGCCATATGAATCAGAAAGTCTTGATTTGTATTGGAAAGATCTTTTAAAATAGACATCCTTTTAAAAATATTTATTTGGTTCCCATTTCATGGGGAAAAATAGAAAAGCTGTTTGCCTGAAACACAGTGTTAACTTTTTTCTATTTCATAAGCGTCATCAGCCCTTTTGAAGTATTTGTGGAGTTGAAAGAAAGGCATAATGCCCACATTTCTGGCTTTGAGCCGGGTGCTGTTCAAGTTCAAAGAGCCCGTGAACCACATCAAAACTCCCCGAGCAAAACACCTGGATGGGGCGGACCTTGACAAATGACATTTGGGGAACAGCAACCAGACCAAGAGGAGAAAAGGAAGCTGGCTTGGTAATCCCCAAACTAGGGTCTCCCAGCCTCCATCTGGCAGAAACCCCCAACACCGTGCACCTGCGTCTGCTCGAGCATTAGCAACATTCAGCGAAACCCCTATTAGCTCAGAGGAAGCTGGTCCAAAACCTCCACCTGCTAGTATTTCATCCAGCACTCTGCTCTGGGGAAAAATACAGGTGACAAACGAATGTGAAGCTCCCCTTCCAGAATAAAGTTTGGGTAGCTATAGGGTCAGTATTCGAAACGTAAGCATGCCCAATGTTCCCACGAGCCACATGTTCCTTTCGGTAGCTCCAGGACCAGAGTGGAGAGAGCTGTGGCTGAAGGGATGAGCTGGGCTCGGGAGGAGGCCCCAGCCACGGACTGAGTCCCACGGCGTCAGCACATACGCGTGCAGCAGCCATGACGAGGGTGAGGTTGGTCAGTGCGCGGGAGCCACGAGGGGCTCGGAGGTGGCTCCGGGCCGCACTTCCCACCACCAGGTGTTCCACAGCCTGGGAATGTGTCGGGGGTGGTCCTCAGCTCCTGCAGCTGAACGCTCCCATCTAGAAGTCGTTCTTCTGAGCCTGGGTCTACACCTGGACGCTAGCCCACCCTGCTTCTGGGCTCTGGTTTAGCTCCCTTTTGTGTTGTCTTTTCCACAGACTGGTTTCATTCAGTCCACGAGCACAGGGTAATAATGTGCATAAAAAATTGCATTTCAGCCCCATAACCACGCTAACACCGAAGAGTCGATGGTGCGCATTAAAGGACGGACTTGGTCTTGAAGCGCAAGTAAGTGGTGGCATTATGAGATTAAAACACTTCATCACACGAAATTTACATAATTTACATAATTATTCAAATTATCATGTAAAAAATAAAGTTAGCTAGCACGTCACACCTTATTGATTTGACCTAGCGCTTTGGACGACAAGCAAAACCTATCTATTAATATGAGTTCTGACTTGGTTAATTTATTCGTTCAAATTGGTTCCTAATGCATGCAGGGCACAACTTTAGGGTTTTAGCCTGACATGATTTCCCGAGGGCCAGTCATCTGCCTTATACTTTATACGGATCACCTGTCACTCTCAGAATAGCCACGTGCAGTACAGATTCTCACTCCCATTCTACAGAGAACACTGCGGCAGCAAATTCGGAGAGCTTAGGGAAAGTGACACCAGAGCCATGATTAATGTCAACCTATACCTCAACTTCAAATCCAAACTCTCAAAGACACACCTTCTACCCTAAAAGCATTGACCAGCTGGTGGAAGAGAGAAACTATTTGAAGAAGTCAGGCGGACACAAAATTGAGCCTGATACGTGCTCTAGGATGGGTAGAGTTAAGTTTCTACAGAACTCAAGGGAAGAAAGATTTTCTTAGGTCGAGGGGTCTGGAAGGCTTTGAGGAGCCTGAGGCATTTGAAGTGGGCTGTGAGGTGTGAATAGGAGTTTCTAAGATGGAAGAAAAGGGGAAGGAGATTCAGAGCAGCCTATGTCTGAGGATCTGGAAAGCAGGGGGTGGAGGGGGAGTGCCTTCGGGGAGCAGTGAGCTATTGGTTCACTAGGACAGAGCCCGCCAAAAGAACTGGAGATGCTCTTGAAACAGACAGTTTTTTCCTTAGCGATAATCAAATATTAAGAAGGCCCGTCTTTATCCTAATGGACACATCTGTTCCTATTTTGATTGCAGAAGCTCTGCAAGTGTAACTCTAGTAGAGGAATGGGGGGAGGCTTCCATGGCGTTCCCTCCCTGCTTCCAAACCTGCCTCCAACAGGTCATTTGGAGTCTGCCTGGTCCAGCTCAGTCATTTCGGCACGTGCTCAGTATCACCAGAAGAGCTGGCCACAAAGTCCTAGATGGATCTCTCTCATCTCTCCATGACCCAGTCCGATCCACACCAGCAGAAGTGTGCATCGGCCTACCAAACACGCAGACATCCAGTAAAATTCATCCACTTCAGAGATGAACTCTTAGAATGTTCCACTTGGCCGTTTGTTCATCTGCCCAATGACCGTTACGAAGAGCCTACTGGTGGGTGCTCGGCTGGGTACTGAGGGTACAATATTGTCCTCGGGGAAACTCCAATCCAGCCCGTCTTTCCAAAGCACTGGGGAGGCTGGTGTGGTCAGATGGATAAGGTGGGGAAACGGTGGGAAAGTGTTGGGCTGGTGGGGGTCGGGGTTTGACTTTGGGAACTGTTGAGTTGGGGCAGGGGATATTCCAGAAGAAGTGTCAAGGGGGCAGCTGGGTCTGGGAATTACCGAGGAGTGGTTTGGACTGGAAACTCACCTCTGACCTGCAAGGAGGGAGTTTTGATAAAAGGGGTCACCTTGGACCAGGATGACAGCCGTGGAGACAGAGCCAGGATGATCAGTGGGGCGTAGTGTGAAGGAACCATAGGTTTTGACCAATTGAAACTCACTCTGGCTTCATTACTAACCACCCAGCAACTGCTGTGGGTTCCTAGGCATCTGCCTTCCCTGTGCCCCTCACGCACCTTCGGCCCCCACGCCCCCTCCCACGGCTGCTACAGCCCCTCTCAGGGGTTGATGATTTGCACACACGTGTGAGAAGTGGCCTCTGTGCACAGCATGGGAACGAGGCTACACCGCCCCATGCTCACTCTGGACCTCCCAGGGGTCCCAGAAGTGTCGCGGTGACAGTCATTCCCTCATCCACATCTCCCAACTGATTTGGTGCAGGGGGTCAATGTGATGGGTTTTGGTATGTTTTCAAATCAAAATCATCGATTCACGCAGTGACCTGGCCTCCTCCAGGCACCACTGCAGCCCCCAGCTCATGTCAGCATACATGAGTCGAGGTCTTTTTGTTTTTGTTTTTTCCCTCGTAGGGGTTACTGATGCACAGGTATCAGTATCAAAAGACCTCTGTCCCTGAGGTCACGGTCAGAGGCAGAGCCATGTCTGGGAAGAGCCGGGTGCCCTCTTACTGACAGCGTGGTCCCATCTCTCGGGCCTGTTCCTATGTCAGCAGCAGCCTTTTCCTCCCTGAAGGCCCAGAGCCTGGGCTCAGAAAGCACACACCCCAGCGCTATTTGCACACAAAGCTCTGTCCCATATCAGGTTGGATGACCATGGCCGTCAGGAGCCAGCCTTAGCCATCGCACGCCCCCCACCACGTCATGCCCATGGCATCCCCTCCTTTGGCTTAGTGCATGGGTTTGGGAGACGCCCCGTACACATCTCCCTCTGTTCACCGTTTAAACGGGAAGGAGTCTTTACTTCACAGACACAGAATTTCACCCATCCTGGGGACACAAAGACAGACCTCCAGGCACTCCATGTCAAGGGGCACCTGGGGTCAAGAGCTGACGGAACACAGACCCGCTGATTTCTGAAACACGCCACCACCCTTGGCGGGACACCATTCACCTCGATCTAAACACAAGCACAGAGCCTCGTTCTTTGCTTGAGTTTTCCGCATTGAAACTCAGGTGGAGAGTGGTCCTGACTCCAGACAAATCAGTACAATCCTGCAATCGGACGAGAACCTTTCTAGAAAGGTTTGCCCGCCAAGAAGGAATTTAGGTCAGGTCCAGGAGGGTCTGGCAGGGTTTGGCTCTGCCTCTCTACCGGATGGGTTTCCCAGCCTTCCCCATTTGGTCCCCAGGAGCCCGCAGGCGTGGCACCGGGCTGACCTCTGGTCCAGGAGCTCTGACAGGTCAACCACACCACTGACACTGCAGATCTTGGCTCTCCTGTCTGGGCCAGGCGGCGCGCTCGCCACCGGGGGCTCCTCCCGGCAACATGTCTGAGACCCCCCCCCCCCCCCGGACTCCACACTCCCCTCCCAGCCCGGGCAAGGGCGCGGGACCCTCGGGGCAGCATCGGAACTGCGGCCCCCGCCCCTCCCAGACTTGGCGCAACTCCGAGTCACTTTCTCAGAAGGCTCCTATCTCCACTTCTGCATCGTGTCGCCCTCCAGCACACCCTGCGGGACCCCCTCTCGCTCTCAGCCCGCTTCCACCTACGTCCCTGTCACCAACCCCTAGCCCGTCGCCACCCGCAGACACGCTCTCTGTGTGCCGTTTCCCGAGGGGGACGCGGGAGCTGCCGAGCCGGCGGCCAAGTCCGGCGGCGGGTCCCGGGCGCCGAGGCCAGGGTCGCGCGGTCCCCAGCCTCTGGCACCCGGCGCGCCGCGGGGCCGCCAGGGACCCGGCTCTTGGAGCCCGCACCCGGCGCGGCCCCTCCCTCCCGCCGCGGCGGCCGAGGCGGCGTCCCTGGCCTGTTCCGGCCGCCCGGGGCGCACGGCCACCCGAGGGGCGCACGGCCCCCGCCCGAACCACACGCGCGCTCACCTCGGGGGGGCCGGTCCGGTCGCGCCGATCGCGCCGCCGCGGCGGCTCCGCATCTCCCGGGCGCCCGCCTGCCGCCCTCCGGGGCGCCCCTCGGTCCCCGCCGGCGCGAAGGACGGTGGTGGGGACGCGCGGAGGCCGCGGGGTCCGGGCGCCGCTGGCGCCGCCTCCTGCCGCCCGCAGCCGAGCAGGAAATTTGTCCGGCCGGGTCCCGCCGCCGCCTCCGCTCCCGCTCGGGCTCCGGCTCCCGCTCCGCGGCGGGGGCGGGGGCCGGCGCAGCGAGGAGCGGGGGCGACGCCTGGTGTCCGGCGCGGGGAGCGCACCCCGGCGCCGGCCCCACTGGGAAGCCCCCCGCCGCCCTGCACGTCCGTTTTCCCAGGCCGGTGCCCCTTCTGGGGAGGCCCTGGCCGGGCCCCCACTGTCCCGACGCGGGCGCCAGCCGAGGGGGGCAGGTGCGACACGCACTCTTACAGGCGGGAAAGGCCCTTCCTACTCCCGCCTTGGCCCTGGGCACCAGGAAGTGGCCTGGCTGGGGACGAGCCTTGGCTCCTGCAGTCGGTTCAGGGGAGCGTGGGGCGCCCTGCACCACTTCTGGCTCCAAGATGTACAGAGAGCCGTGAACCCTCCTGAGCCGGTGCCCTCCTCCGTAAAGAGGGGATGGAGGTGACCCCGCGGGTGTTGAAGTGCTCAGTTGCCCTGAAGGCGGCAAAGGCTAAACGCATCTACACATGGGAGGAAGAGCGACTCCTAGGAAGGGTCTGAACCTGCTGCTCTCCCAGGACTGCTTTCCAGGTGACCTCCTGGAAGCTGTGTAGGGAGGCGTCAGGGTAAAGAAGGTTCTGTCAGAAGAGCAGATACGATGCATGTTCACCCCTTTGGTTCTGAACCTGTGTGCTGCGCCTGCCCTCTGGGCTGGTCCCAGACCTGGCCTCCCCCAGGGATCCGGTTTCCCTGCTGTGGGGACCTCACTCATCTGAGTTCGTGAATGCAGGTGGGAAGGTAAGGTCAAGGTAGCCCGCCTGGCATCCGGAGCAAGCAGCTCCTAGGGCCGTAGGGTCTGCTCCAGGCAGAGCTGCAGACCCCAAAAGACTGGGGAGTGACGGGCATCTACTGGCTGAGACTGTCCACAGTCAACCTGAGCGCAACTGCCCTTCCACAGGCGGTAAAGACCCGTGAAACCAGTGGAGATCTTGAACTCATCTTTCCTTCCCTGCGCTGCCCACACTGTCTCTGGGGGACCCCATCTCACTTCCGGGCTTCATACACCAGCCATATGCAGGGAACCCAAATAAAGCACAGCTCCCTCCGCAAGTTCTGTCCCTTCTCTCGCCATCTCAGACCAGCCTTGCTCTTACTCAGCCTCTCCCCGAGCATCCCTGTCTCTCCCTCTCCCCCCACCTCTGATTCACCCCAAGCCTACCCCCTGCTCAGCTCTGAAATACCTCTTGACTCTGACCCCTTCTTTTCTCTCCACTGTCTTCATCTCTCCAGTGACTGCAATGGTGCCCAACTCAGACTCACCCCCAGACACTCCATTCTTTACCTGCCATCCAGGGGGACCAAGTCATGCCAGTCCCCTGCGTAAGAGCCTCCTTTCAAAATAAAACCAGACTCCCAGAAAGCTCTGCCTGCATGATAACTCAGCTGCTCTGAGCCCACACCTCTGTGTGCTGTGACCCATCCCTCAGCGTGACTTCTGCGAGGGAGCCCGGCGCTTCCCCACCTGGACTCTGCCCCCTCTTCACCTGGCTTGCACCTTCTGACTAACAGCCTGCAAGACCGCCCCGCACTCCTGTCCTCTGCTACTCTCGCTGACGGGTGTTCATTTGTTCCTGGCAGTCATTCTGGCCCGCCAGCCCCATGAGGGCTTTGAGCTCCAAGACGGTCCAACCATGCTGGACTACATCCTTTCTCCATCTCCCGCTCCTAACACAACCCTAATAGCCAGGAGGTGTCCATGAAAGCATGTGGGCTGACAGATCGCGGGGTTGGGGGGGGGCGTCCACACACAGCGCCAGGCAGCCTTGTCTTGAGAACCCAGCAGGGCAGGGAGCTCCCCAGCGCCCTCCCCACCAGGTGCCTGCAGGGAGCCGCCCAGGTTGGGCGGAGCCAGGTAGGCCGGTGACCTCACCCAGCTCTCAACTGGCCTGCTGCAGAGGCCTAGGGAGCCAGGCTTGTGCCCATGAAGGCCAGGCTTCCGGAGCTCGGGTGAGCACAGGTGTGCTTGTTAACGCTGCGGGACTGCAGGGACAGTCTGTAATGCAAGGAGAGAGAAACAAGTTGCCTTTGTGAGACATCTGCTACTGGAAAGTCAACAGCCCTGGTAACATGAGGAGGGCCAGACTGCTCCTCTCTCCTGGTAACATCCTCTGTGTTGGATTCTTCCAGAAATTAAGCAATATCCCTTAACTTCTTCTGAAGTCTACATTCATCACTGTCACACAAAAGCATGTTGTCAGAGGCCTGGATGCCAGGGGAGGGCTGATCCCCATACGGAAGCCCCTTGATCCTTCTTAACCCTCTCCTCTCTGCTTCCCTTCCTTCTGCTTCTCTCCAGCTCAAGGTCCCTGTTGACCCATGAGTCAGTTCCCCTACTCTCATCCTAGGCTTCAAGGACCTCTCACCACCGAGCCACCCTCCTCTTCTAGGACCCCAGGCCAAGGCCCTTGCTAAACGATCCCCCTTCTGCATTCCTGTTTGCTCCCCCCTGGAGCGTGCTCCCACTGGCCCTCCCTGCCCCTCCTCTCCACCACACCCCGCAGCTCCCTTCCTTGAATAGGCAGGAGGCTGGGGCAGTGTTCCTGAGACTGCTGCTATGAACCATAATTCAATGCAACTTGTCTTCTATTTCATGTTTATATCATGTCTTCTATTTCAGGACTGAGGCTTTGGGCTCAAGGTTGGGTAACCCAGATTGTGCTCTTGGCACATTAAGGGCCAGATAGATGTCAGTGAAAATTAAAAACACTCAGGCCAGAAATGCTCTCCCGGAAGACAAACAAGAAAGGCAGAATTGGTATGTTGCGATCACATCAGAGCTTGCCTGTAATATCATACAGAGACATTAGCATAAACTCACACGACTTTAAGTGATAAAATCAGAAGGTTTTCATGATTGATGGGCTACAGTGCAGGGGAAGCAAGGAAAACTGACTTTAGGACCTATGCGCAAAATGAGGAAATGCAGGATGGCTATTCTGATCTCTAGAATGTTCCAGAATGAACAACTCCAATGGGTACAAATCCTCCTATTATCACATTACCCGAATATCCTTTCCAAGGTATGCCCAAGTAATAAGAGTTATTAAGCAGTGAAATCAAGAGATCGGGACTTGTGCGAGGAGTTCTCTCTACTGTCCCCCCAAAACAGGTAGTTGTCCCCTCCTTCAGGTGCTCAGAGAATTTTAACTATTTTTCCCTTGGATTACTTTTCACGATGAACAATATACATGTATTATACAGATCCTATGTGTACAGTTTAATGAATAAAGACAAATACATAAAAAAGTGAAATACACGTATCCTACACAGACAGTGAACATTTCCATCACTCTAGAATGTAGCCCCCCATTCCTCCCCAGAAAATCCCCCACCCACACCAAACCAGCCCCTGCTCTGACGCTTATTACCTTAGGTAATTTCAGCTGATCTAGATCTTCATATAAATGGAATCATAAATTTTTATGATTTTTTTATCCTTTATTTTTTTTATTTTTTTTACAGGAATTTTTTACTTTCGATTTCTTTCATGTAGCAAAATTGGGGGGGGATTCATGCTTTATTAACTATACCAGTAGTTCAGGTATTGTATCTGGTTTCCCTAGTTCCTTTTAAGACGTTCTCCCTATTGTTTTTTAGAAATGCGATTTAAGGGGCGCCTGGGTGTACAGTCAGTTAAGCATCCAACTCTTGGTTTCCACTTAGGTCGTGATCTCGGGGTCATGAGAGCAAGCCCCACATTGGGCTCCATGCTCAGCGGGGTGTCTGCTTGAAGATTCTCTCTCTCTCTCTCCCTCCGCCCCTCCCCTCTAAGATAAATAAATAAATATTTATTTAAAAAGAAATGTGATTAAAATGTGTCTTCCTGTGGTTTTCTTTGTATCTATCATACTTGGGACTATGCTGCTTTGTTCTTAAGTGTACGGTTTTTGTCAGATTTGGACATTTTTCAGCCATTATTTTTTTTTTCAAGATTTTATTTATTTATTTGACAGAGAGAAATCACAAGTAAGCAGAGAGGCAGGCAGAGAGAGAGGAGGAAGCAGGCTCCCTGCTGAGCAGAAAGCCCGATGTGGGGCTCGAACCCAGGACCTGGGATCATGACCTGAGCCGAAGGCAGTGGCTTAACCCACTGAGCCACCCAGGCGCCCTCAGCCATTATTTTTTTTAAATGTTTTCCACCTCCTCCCATTTCTGAGGCTCCAATAAGAGGTACATGATACCTCCTGATACGGTCCCGCAGGTCATCAAGGTTTTAAAACATTTAAGTCCTTCCTCCTCTCTGGGTTTCAGTCGGGATAGTTTCTACTGCTGGATATTTAGGTTTACTGATCTTTCCTTTCACACTGCTCTATCCTCTGTTTGGTCCATTCAGTGAATTTTTCATTTTAGATATTTTATTTTTTTAGGTCACAGAATTTTTATTTGGTTAGTGTTAAAGTAATTTTTATTTCTCTGTCAAGATTCTCCACATTCATTCATCTTTTCCTTTAAATCCTTGAATAAGGATGTAAAGTTCTTCTTTTTAAGATTTTATTTATTTAGTTGACAGAGAGAGAGAACAAGCAGGGGAAACAGCAGGCAGAGGGAGACAGAGAAGCAGGACCCTGGGATCATGGTCTGAGCCTTAAGGCAGAAGCTTAACCGACTGAGCCAGGCAAATGCCCCAAGAATGTACTTCTAATAGCATTTCCAAGCTCTTTGCTAATTTTCACATCTGTGTCATCTATGCATCTTGACTATTTTCCTGTTCCTTTACACGTCCAATTTTTTAATTGTCTGCTGGATGCAACATTCTTGAGAGTCTAGATTGGTTTCGGCTTCTATAGGGATATGCCAATA